GTTGAAATATTGATTAGTGGTGAATGTGTAGTAGTAGTAGTAGTAGTAGTAGTAGTAGTAGTAGTAGTATGTAGCAGAGGTATTGTAGAGGAGGGAGGAGGAGGAGGAGGAGGTAATAACTGTAGTAGTTCTTATCATTTTGACTCTCTCTCTCTCTCTCTCTCTCTCTCTCTCTCTCTCCTCATGTAAACAAATCTAACACTCACGGTACCATAGACTGCCGTGTCGTATTCACCAGTCTTTCGTGTGTATGTGTTTGAAACTTGAATTCCCGGCAGCCATTGAGTAGTTGTGTGATCGGCTTTAATTTTGGTGGTGGCATTTGGGTCAATGAGTGTTGCAGGTCATGCGAGTGTTGCAGGTTAGGCAGAGTGTTGCAGGTTATGCGAGTGTTGCAGGTCAGATGTTGCAGGTCAGGCCAGAGTGTTGCAGGTTATGCGATTGTTGCAGGTTAGGCAGTGTTGCAGGTCATGAGTGTTGCAGGTTATGCGATTGTTGCAGGTTAGGCGAGTGTTGCAGGTCATGCGAGTGTTGCAGGTCAGGCGAGTGTTGCAGGTCATGCTGGAACGAGCAAACCAAAGGCAGTGTCGCAATGGTGGAAGAGGAGTAGTGGTAGTGTGTTTAACGAGGTGTAGGTAGTAATGTGTTTAACGAGGTGTAGGTAGTAATGTGTTTAACGAGGTGAGTAGTAATGAGTTTAACGAGGTATTGGTAGTAATGTGTTTAACGAGGTGTTGGTAGTAATGTGTTTAACGAGGTGTAGGTAGTAATGTGTTTAACGAGGTGTTGGTAGTAATGTGTTTAACGAGGTGTAGGTAGTAATGTGTTTAACGAGGTGTTATTTAGATTGTGAAAAAACAACTAAATACGACTTATTTTACATTACATTTTTATTCAGAAAATATCAGTCAACATAAGATTACATTTCTCCCTGACCCGTTACATATTTGATGTTTGGTATTTATATAAACTAATAAATGCATTATAAATTCCCCCAAGACACAGGTCAAATACCCCCATAAGTCCCCCAAAAAAAAAACAGTACAAATTTATGATAATCCGTTAATATTCTCAAGTCAGTCAGAAGGTCAGTTCTTAAATCAGCTACTTTTGTTGACTTCATTTAACTTTTGTTGTTCCCTTAAACACGGGCTCCAGCAGGTTCCCCCAAAGCTCCCCCAGGTTCCACAGCTCCCCACGATGTTAATTACCTCCAAGATAAAGCTTCATACCCCCCACTCCACAATGTGACAGTTTATATGCTTAGGTTAATTTTGGAAGTCTATGTTAACTACCGTATATACAGTTCGGGTTAACAGTGTGTGTTAATTTTAGACCTTGTTAACTTTAGCCAGTTCCTGTTAACTTTACACTGTTTTAACTATAGACAGTACCTGTTAATGTTAGACTGTTCGTTTTACCATTACATAGTACATGTTTATGTTAACTTTAGATATCTTATGTTAACTGTGAGGATTTGCTCTTAACTTGGGACAGTTATGTCATCTTAAGACAGGTTGTGTTAATCAGCTTATGTTAACCTTAGTTCCTCGCAACCTTAGACAGTTTATAATAGTATTAGAAGATAGTTTGTTATTATTAAACAGCTTATGTTAATTTCCAACAACTTTTATTAAAATAGCTTTTATAAACTCAAGAACTTCGTGGCATTTTTTTTTTTATTCATGAAAACTTGAGACCAACGCCTGGTTTCTCTCCACAATGTGACAGTTTAGGTGTGTGTGTGTGTGTGTGTGTGTGTGTGTGTGTGTGTTCATAAGTGCGAGTGTCTTGTTTGTGAGTGTGTTAATCTTGTTTGTGAATGTAAGAGTGTCTTATAGGTGAGATATGAGTATGTCAGTAAGTGTGTAGGTCATATTGTTATTGCAGTGTGTGTGAATGTAAACTCATGGAAACAAGAAAAATATATACTGTACGTCATAAAACTGAATAATATGAATGTAAGGAGGAATTTATGAAGGTGGACGAACATTGGAAATTAAAAATACAATATACATTTAATCGACCACACACACACACACACACACACACACACTTAACACACATAAAAAGACCAAGCGAGGAAAACACGATAATACATAACTCACACGAACAAAATCAACAACACAGAATATAAACAATGGTAGGGTGTCAGGCGAGGTGAGTGATGTACGATGACTCTGGGTGAAGTTATTGGTTTTATTATAAAGAATAACAAGTTCTCGTCCCGTGCTGGTTGATAAAGTATATCATTACGTTGTAATTATCTGAGTGGTGGGGAAGGTTTTGTGGTGGACCATTATTTAGGAAGATATACTGCTGTATGGATGGTAATTTGGGTAGTTTGTAATCCGTATCTAACTTAGGAATTCCTTCTCGTTATTCCCCGGTAAAGTTTGGGGCTGTTGATGTCTTGCACGTCTGGCCGACCCCACTAAGTTTGGATAATTTTGTGAGGCCGTAAACGAACTTGTGACACACATGAACTATTCACCTAATTTTGGGGGGTGTACAGGCAGCCCAGATTTATTATAAAAGGAAGAAAGTTGGGCAATATTGGCTGAGTTGAGGAGAACTTTGAGTCTGGGTTTGTGGTGGTAAATAAACATGTATATAAGGACCTTTATCTATTATTTTTGTCGTGGCCGAGTAAAGAAAAAAGTTTGATCTATCAATAATAATAATAATAATAATAATAATATGCAACCTTACAAACTGCCGTATATAAATATAATGGTAAAACAAAATCAAAACAAAAAACACTCGCGTAATAACATGGGAGGGTTGAGTGTGTTATGAGGTGGTGTGGGTAGGTTGTGGTGTCACTGAGTGAATAACCTACAAGATTTTGTGCGTCAGATTTACAACTCGTCTCGTGGCTCTGGCTAGTAGGCTGGGTCTCTCTCTCTCTATCTCTCTCACAATGACAGAGGAGAGACAAAAGGAGAACCCCCCAAACAAACCCCCCACCCCAGAACGCGCCAGGAGGGACGTGCTGTCTGTACCTCCGCCAGATTAACCTGCAAGTTAGTCGTGTCTTTGTGACGCTGATGAAGACTGGCCGACCTTTTTTGTGGTTGACTGTTTTTACTGAGCTGCAGCGGGAGAGTATGCGAGCGTGTGGGGAGGAATGGCTAGAGGTGAGGATGGAGAGATAGTTAGAGATGAGGGGATAGGGGGAGAGATAGTTAGAGATGAGAGGATATGGGGAGAGATAGTTAGAGATGAGGGTATATGGAGAAGAGATAGGTAGAGGTGAGAGGGAATGGGGAGAGATAGGTAGTGGTGAGGAGGTGGGGAGAGATAGGTAAGGGTGAGGGAGGTGTTGGGGAGATGGTAGGGTGAGGAGGGTTGGGGAGGAATAGGTAGAGGTGAAGGGGTGTGGGGATGAGAGTAGAGACATAAATGAAGCAATGATAGAGGAAGATATGGATAGAAAACACAAGGATGGAAGAGAAGGATAGGTGTCGAGGAGGAATGGGATAGACCAAATTGGGAGTTAACGAGAGAAGAATAGGCGTGAGAAAGGATAGAAACGACCGGAATGGGTTAATGGGGCAGAGGATATGCGTGTGTGTGGAGGGTGGGGAAGCACTAAATGGACACTCACTCAACTTTGCATGAGCGTTGGTCCTGCATACCTGATGGACACGTGGCAAAAACTAGGTCTACCCTCCTATCTCTTCCTCCTCCTCCTGTTCGTCTTCCTCTCCTCATCCCCCTGTTCCTCACGCCCCTGTTCCTCCTGCTCCTCATCTACCACTAGCATCACCTCCTCCGCCTCACCGCTCCTCCTTTTTCTGTTCCTCCCCCCTGTTCCTCACGCCCCTGTTCCTCCTGCTCCTCATCTACCACTAGCATCACCTCCTCCGCCATCACCGCCCCCTCCTTCTATCCCTCTTCCTTCTTCTTTACCACTACCACTTCCTTCTCCTTCTTTTCCTCCTCCTCCACTTCCCTCTCTGTCCTAACCTTCCTCCACATCCAGTCCCTCCTTTTTTTAACTCCCATCTACATCAAATTTCCTCCAGTCTCTTCCTCCTTTATCCTCTTTGCCTCACCCTTCCATTTTCCTCTCACCCACTTTTTCCTTTCCACATTCTTCCTTCCTATTTTTCTCTACTCCATCTTTCTCTTCTCCCTCTTGTTTTCTCTTCCTCCTTCGTCCTCAGTTTTCACTTCCACCTGCTTCCTCCTTCCTACCTACCTCCCTCTCTCCTATCTCCCTCCCTCAACACTGACAAACTAGACGACAGTCACGCGGCATGATAACAGCTGAAACCTGACTTAGTAGTTTATTAGGTGTGTTTAGGTCAACGTGAGTCAGTGTCGTGTACCATTTCTCTCTCTCTCTCTCTCTCTCTTTCTCTCTCTCTCTCTCTTTCATATACTCCGCCTGAGAAGCCCACTAATGGAGTCTGTCATGAGGTATGATCATTAGCCGTGACTCACCTGAAGAGACAATATTCCTACCTGTTCTCCGTCGCCGTGTTGATTAATCCTTCATATTTTTCCTCACTCACGACAACACCTTCCCGCAGTAACTCTTCTAATCTGTCGTACTAACTGGGTCACCGTCACAGCGAGAAGATATGATCATCTACAACTCTTATCTACTATAGGAATATTTAAGACAATTTTGGAACACTTGCAGTTTTGATTTTGTAATTCTTATACTGGGGTATTTGTATCTTTGTATTAAGTATAAGTACATGGCAAGAAAATAAGCAAATGTAGTCTTAGGACAACCATAGATAATCAGAATCTGTTTTATGTAGACTCATAAGCAATCAAAATTTGTTTAAAAACACTTGGAACAAATCAAAGAATATTAAAAGTCGGTTTTATGTAGACTTCACCCAACAACAGTGCAATAGAATCATCACGTGCGGCCTGTGTACAACCTTAGCACACAAAATCATTACTTGTCGACGTGTTTCGTGCACGATCTCGCCCCACTCATACACACCTAACCAGTTTTTTCTTTCTTGTCATGACAGACGGTCCATCATTCAGCGTGCCGCCGAGTGACCAGTACGCCGAGCTGGGGGAGAACGTGACCCTAAGATGTCAAGTGGACTCCATGCCAGACCCGACCATCGTGTGGATCAACCAGCAATCACAGACGGTGGTGGGTAAAGGCTCAGAGCTACATATCAAGGTCACTAAGAACAACGTCGGCGCCTACCTCTGTATCGCCAAGGTCGAAGGCTTCCCAGAAATCTCCGGTACCGTCGGGGTGTTCCTAAAGGTAATGTCTTGGTGTCTCTGCTGGGATTTGATTATGAATGGGAGATAATTATGTTATTTACTCCTAAGAATATCAAAATGTACACTGTCAGTACTAAAAGAGAGTCACGGCACCTTTTGTGTTATGTTATAAGTAGACAAGTAGGTAATTAGTGACAGCAGTACAAGAATGTAGTTTTATAACTTTTGTTTAGCTTAGATATTGGTAAACTAAAGTATAAGTATTTCCTTCCTTGGTGAACTGTCTAGTATCAGTACAAGTCGACAGTATTGATCGACTCCTGTTGCTGAATGATGATATAATTTAACAGTGTAGTAGTTTAACCCCTTTAAGTTAATAGTTTAATTACTCAAGGATGATGGCGTAATAATTTGGTATTTATTGTTGAGTATTACTGACTGTTGACTGTCAGACCTACCACAAACTAACAGCTGGTGTCGTTCTTGTCGCTGCCTTTCACAGGGTCCGCCGCAGGTACGCTCAGAGAGAATACAGTGGGGAAGCAGGGAGACACGGTGTTGGTGGAGTGTCTTATCACCGCCGCCTCCGCCCGTTCCGTCACCGTCACCTGGACACACAACGGAGCTGAGGTCGACCTGGGTGAGTGTACCTGACGCTAGTGATGTTGCACTTCTTATGCTTCTTAATCTTACACTGTAGTTGATGTCTCTTTAACACACTCTTACGTTCTCTAAAGGATGTCTATTTAACATACTCACGTTCTCTACAGTGCCTCTTTAACACCTGCGTTCTCTAAAGGATGTCTCTTTAACACACTCTTACGTTCTTTACAGTGACGCCTCTTTAACACACTCTTACGTTCTCTACAGTGACGCCTCTTAAACACACTCTTACGTTCTCTGATGACGCCTCTTAAACACACTCTTACGTTCTTTACAGTGACGCCTCTTTAACACTCTTCGTTCTCTCAGTGACGCCTTTTAAACACTCTTACGTTCTCTACAGTGACGCCTCTTAAACACACTCTTACGTTCTTTACAGTGACGCCTCTTTAACACACTCTTACGTTCTCTACAGTGACGCCTCTTAAACACACTCTTACGTTCTTTACAGTGACGCCTCTTAAACACACTCTTACGTTCTCTACAGTGACGCCTCTTAAACACACTCTTACGTTCTCTACAGTGACGCCTACCACACATATTTTACTACACTTTTTACCTCCACCTCACTTAGTAGCGACACTCCTAACGCACTCTGCCTCTACCACTCTGCATCATGTTTACCTCCGGACATTGACTAATCCTTCGTGTCCGGGAAAGTGACAGCAATATAGAGAGGAAAACGGTCTCATTTCCTCCAGTCTCAAAGACACGTTTCTGACACTCTCGTTCTCACTGTCTCACCCGAAACTGCTTCATTCCTCCCGTCTCTCACAAACAGACAGTCTCATTCCTTCTGTCTCATATAAACAGACCGTCTCATTCCTCCGTCTCTCCCCCACAGAGGCAGGGCGTTACGAGGTCTCTGAGGACGTGACAACACAGGGCGCCTGCACACCCTGGTCATACGTAACGCGCAGCTGAAGGATTTCGGTGCTTACAACTGCTCGGTTCAGAACGCCTTTGGCTCTGATGTCTTCGAAGTTATTCTCAATAAGAAAAGTAAGTGTATATTATCTTCGTGCTTCTTGTTTGTTGTTTTTTGTTGTTGTTCATGGTTCATTTATTCTTCTTTTATTTATTTTCTTTCGAGGAAGAAAAGATTATATTAGAGAGAAGATTTTTGTTTACTTTTTGGGGCAATGATTGTTTCAGCAAATATATTTTTTACAATATTTAGTTAAAATGAAGAAATACTCTATTAGTGTCCTTCAAATAAGGGAAACGACATAATATTACAAAACTATGAGTCACTAGATACCATAGTGTTGACAGTATTTTTTTTTCATTTATTGGGCACCCCCATCCTTGTGTAAGGTGAAGCGCAGAAGCGTTTACAGCGCCCAACAGGGAAGCATGCTAAGTTCATGCTTGCCTTATGTCTCGTGAGTTAAGGGCGTAGAAGCCTGAAGAGTCAATGGTATATGTCTAAGCAAGTTATTGGAAGCTCCAACAACTTGTCCCTGAATACGAATTCGCAACTTCCGATTTACAGCAGGTACCTACTGTGCTGCTAGGGAACAGGGACCAAGGGGACTAGGAAGAGTGTCCAAACAACTTCCGCCTGCCCGGGAATCGAACCCGTGACATCTTGCTTGCGAGGCAAGAACGGTACCGCTCTACCACCAGATCCCCTGTTGATAGTATTAAAGATGATTAACATATATACTGTCTGTGTAATGTACATAGGTAAAGCAACTAAATAATTGCTGCCTGACTCCTAACCCTGGTGACCTGGGCTCGAATCTCGGCACGCACAGGTGAAAACTGTTTACAGAATACTGTCTAATACATTAAATTAAATCTCTGAGAACTTGACACCTTTATGTCGTGTGGACCGTCAATATAGTTACGGGTTGTGTTTCTTGTCTCTCCTCGTAATGCAATTTGGGGTTGAGCTTGTGGAGTCGACAGTGTGTAAACCTGATCCAGAGTCTCTCGTCTCTCAACACTCGCCTCTGGATACGTGAAGATCATTTTATCTCTTCTTGGATAATATTAACAGAGTGAATTACCTGCGTTAAGTTCTGATGGATGACGTAACAGAGATAATTAAGTTTAGATTAGGTTTAGTGTAGGTTAGGTTAGGTTAGGTTAATTTACTTTGGGTTATGTTAAATTATTTTAGGTTAGGTGAGGTAAGATTAAGTTAATTTAGGTTAGGTGAGGTTAGTTTAAGTTAGTTTAGGTTAGATTAAGGCCATTTGAGGACAAGAACACAGCTGACTAGACACCTCAGTATAGATCAAGAACCAATCTAACCGAAACTGTTTCCTGCCTACAGAGACGCTGCTGTGATCCTGTGGGGTAATAGGAGGCATCGTGTTCGTTTTGGTGGTGGCACTCGCTGTGATCATGTGTGCCAAGAGGACGGCTGCCAAGCAGAAAGGTAAGGCACTGAGCTGACCCCCGTATACCATCTCAGGTCATGTTGGGACTAAACACATAAGGCCCAGCATATGTACATTAAATATACACATGGGACTGAATATAAACATTAACTATACACATTAAACTATAAAAATAAACATTAAACATAGAAGACTCATTAAATAAACATTAAAGATACACATTAAATAAACACAGAAAATCGAGAAAAGTAACATTAAATAACACAAAAATGTACAGTAATAAGTAGTTAGGTTGTTGAGTGGATAATGGACTTTCTTTCTGTCGTACCCAGGGCACCCCCAGTCCGCCCAACTGTGATTGGGTGCCTAGCTTTGCAGTGGAGAACTGTGCTGAATCCCCACGGCCCCTAAAATCTCTCTCTCTCTCTCTCTCTCTCTCTCAGTAATTACCTAAATCGTTAATTTTGTATCTTTTTTTCGTTCTTACACTTATGGTGGTCTGTGAAATATAAATTCTTGACCTGCTCCTCTCTAGGTCAAATTTATTTACCGTGGCCACGTAAATATGTTTGTCTCCGCTAAATACCAGTGAATAATATGTTCTTGTCTTACCAACACCTGACAATAAATTAGTAATTTATCCGTCTATCTGTTCAGATGTTTATGCACAGTTCTATCTTTAGGAATGTTTATTTATCTAATATTTTATCTATCTATATGACTATGCAATATATATATATATATATATTTCCTCTATTTCACACTGGTAATACTCACAAACCTCTACAGGGAAACAGTCAGACACACACACGTCAGGCGCCCCTCCCGCCCGTCTTACCTGGTCGTCACTCATAGTTTGGAGTAAATTACACGTGTGTGATTATATTTTCAGGCGAGTCTTTGAGGGAGTGGTTTCTAATTTTCTTTTACTGCTGACACATATATGAAGTACTATTCTCGTCGTGTCGTAAGCGTTAATTATGTCTGGTTATCACTACTTCTCTGTCTCCTAAATCATGTTTCGTTCTTAATGGGGTCAAATTATTGTCTAAATATTGTACGAATTAAATAGTTTCATGTAATTATTTTTTTGTTGAAGAATTATTTTTGGTGACTAATTTATTATGATCCATGAATCGTAATGTTCATACATGTACAGTGAACAACACCAAAATTCCTGCACCTTTATGATGTTATGCAATATGACACACCGGACCAAGCATTCTGAACAACATGGTGTTCGTACGGGTTTTATAATGTATTCTTGCTAATTACTCTGTATTAACTATACGTGATTTACAGAATACATCGTATAGGTTACAAAATCTGACGTACCAACCTTACCAAATGAACATGGCCTCAGTGAGTGATCGTTGAGAAGACCGACAGACCCAGGCGAGCAGAAAACATTTTTGTTGACTGTACAGTTGCTGCCAAAATTCCCTCGACATCTGATAGTATCTGTCATGTTATGGGATATTTTGTATGTGATAGCTTAGTAGCTAGTGAACGTTGTTCAATGAATTCATATATTATAACGAAATATGAAAAATCAATATGTATTCCAAAAATAAGACTTTACCAAAAATACAAACCTGAGTGTTTGGTGTGCCTGACCGTTTATCTGATGTAATAATAGTGAGTTAGTAGATGATGGCTGGTTAACAGATATTACCTCACTTTACGTTGATGCTCTTCTCATTATTAATTTACGACGTCGAGTTTGGGATTCAGACATACTAATTAACTCTCCATTAAGTAATTAGTAATTTATTTCAATTCATGAATACATAGATTCATACACAGTAATTCGCTTTCCATTAAGTTATAAAGAAATGTGTTTGTATTTAGAACGGACTTGGTAGTCAGCGATCAATGTGAGTTTAGTTATGGTTGGGTTATAGGTTAGGTTAGGTTACGTTAGGTTACGTTACGTTATGTTAGGCAGTAAGCAGGTGCAGCCTTCCATGTACTATATGTAATTAAGTGATCAAAACAACCATCTCCAGGTCTATTGCTTCCCGGGTTGTTTACACATTCCAGCTCTGACTTGCATCACTTTATAACAACACCAATAGTTAACAACACGACACAGCAGCTCTTCAACACACTAATATTTCCTCATCTCTCCTGTGTTTAGGCTCGATAAACTGTGAGATCACGCCACTATACCTGCACTTCACTTCATTAAAAAAAAATTAATAATTATAGTGATTTAGCCAATGAAGACAATGAAATCCATAGTAACATTTTAATCAGTCAGAACGAACCAATTCAGCCTTGATTACTATATTTTAGAACGTGCTATAAACAGGAACCAAAAAAATCAGACTTTTTCCTATTGATTCTTAAATGCAGTTCATTGCACATCCTAAAATATACAGTAGTAATTATTTAGGGTTCTTGAATAAAAAGGACACTGGATAATTAATTCTTACCTTGCATTTGCTGGTAATAAATGTGTGTTTGTTAGTCAATAAGTCCGTATAATGAATGAAGAGAGTGTGATCATATTGTGACACTTCCTTACAGACGCCAAGACGGGAGGGTTACCGGAAAAGACGGTCGCCTTGCAGATGAATGACCAAAACTCCACAGCTAACGAGTCTGACCTCAAGGTGGGTGACTGTTGAGGCTCTCAGTGTAGGGCTGTGTGACTGAGTGTTGTGTGCACGGTGGCCTGAGTGTATACCAGTGTTTATGTCTGAGTGTCAAGAGTGTTATTTGATAGATAAGATGACATCTAAAGGAATATATGTGGATGTACAGCAGCGATATAGACATTTTTTACACAGATTTATTGGAGAGACGATGTTAAGCAGGAGAATAAAACAAACAGGTCATCTTAGTGTTGCCATATGGACGGTATACACACGAATGATGAGTCTAACAGAATACAGAACTGTTGATGCGTCAGGGGAGGGTCCTGGACTGAGGCTACACGACATAACGAAATAAATAAATCTTAATCTTAGTCGATAATGACAGAGAATTATTGAATGGAGTTTTAACGACCGTCCTCACCACCAACAGGTTGAACTGGACCAGAGGACTGGCTCCTCCATGAGTAACAAGGAGGGCGAGCTGGAGGGATGGGGGGAGAAGGAGGGGGAGCACCCGGCTACCCCCACCTACATGGCCTCCACCAACTCCTACCTGTACCCAGAAACCTTCACCGGCATCCCTCTTAAAATTGTAAGTAGTTCCTGTTTGAGTCTCGAGTTTCTGTTGCTCGTGGGAAAAATACTAGAATTAGTTGTGATTTTCTGTTAGTGTTGGTTAACGTGGATGTCTTTGAGATTATCGCAATATAGATATAATTAAAGTGTATTTTAAGTAGTCTTTTACATCCATGAATGGATTTGTCTGGATATATGTGTGGTAATATTCCTAACTGAATGTTGGTAATACAGTCAGTTCTCCTCCCACAGAATGGTCACCTCACCAGTAACGGAGGCGGGCTGTCTTATGGCAACTACGCTGATCACTCGACAGTGGCCACGGGCCAACAACAACAACAACAGCAGCAACAACAACAACAACAGCAACAACAACAACAGCCTTCTTCTCCCTCGGGGGGTTACGTCATGGGTGGAAATGTCAGCAGCGCGGGAGGCGTGGGGAGTTACACACATACGCCCCCGGGCATCGTCACCTCCAGCCAGCACTCCCTCTATCCTGGCTACGGGGACTACGACGGGGGACACGATGCCCCTGACGGAGTGCATGGCTTCTCTCCTGGCTACAACAACGGCTTCGCCAATCACAACTTCAAGACCTCGTCTGGGTCACTGCCGCTGTCACTACACGTCAACTCCAGAGGGAACGGGTCGGTAGCGGGTAACGCCACCTCCACCATCCCCAGACT